CTATCAAATAAATCTAGGAGATCTATCCACTATCCCACAGATGATTGGTGAGATTACCAAATACAAGACATTTAGCACCCTGGATCGCAAAAGTGCCTATCACCAAGTAGAAATAAATCTGAGAGACAAGCCTTATATGAACTTTGAAGCATGCAGACAATTGTGCCAATTTCAATGAATTCTATTTGGTGTTGCAGATGATGTGGCCAGCTTCCAAAGATTCATTGGTAAGATAACTGACAAAAAACTGCAAGGGTCTTATGCTTACACAGAAAATGTAATGTTATGTGACCCTGACAAAACTGACCGTGATTGCAATCTCAAGCAGTTCATGGCTGCTGTTGATAAATATAACTTTATATCAAACAAGGAAAAGTGTTTCTATGGGTTAAGCAACATTAACCAACAAGTATATGTCCTAAACAAAGGGACTATGATGCCAGATCTAGAATGGTTAAAGCCACTATGGGAATTACCACATCTCTGCCTTACAAAAGGCCATGGGTATTTTTACACATTATTCCCTCTGGATAGCTTCATTCTTTGAGAAAATACATGCATTAACACAAACTACCAGTTTCCTTCTAAATTTTCCAGCCGTCAAAGATTTTGAGGGTTTAAAAAGAGATATTGCCAATTCTGCTATTGTGGCAGTAAATCTCACTATTCCTCTTGTAGTAGAAACAATACCTCTGACTGTGATATTGCCACTTTGCTGGGATAATCTGGCAGCCCCGTAGTATTCTTCTTCAGAACACTTTGACAGAACAAAAACATTCTGTGATGGAAAAAGAGGCTTATGCCATTGTGTTGGCCCTAAAGAAATGGCAACATTACTTGATCTTCCGCCACTTTTGACTAGACATTGATCTGAAGTATTCATGTACAACTGTAAGAAAACTAACTGACTAAAAACAAAAAAGAAATTTAGCCAGATGATGAATTACACTTTCCTGTTTTTTTTTTGTTGTTGTTTGACATCGTCTATCATACTAGTTAGGAAAATGCAGTGGCTGAAAAACAACTCAAGTATGTTTAGATCACTAAAATGCTACATTTAGTCCGAAACTGAAATCTGTTATTCTCCAGAGTGGATGTCAACAGGATTATGAACAACTGTCAGATGTGCTCGGTGATCAATGCTGGTTCTACAAACTTAAACCAGGAACTGTTATGAAAGCCATACAACCCTTTAAAAGGTTGACTTAAATTTCAAGGAGCCACTACCAAATAAAACTGGAAATAGATATTTTCTGACGATGTTTGATGAATACTCAAAGTTTACACTTGCTTTCCCTGTCCTGACTACATGTAAAAATTGTGGTTTCAGCTAAAAGACAATGATATAAGTAATCCCATTTTGGCGTGTTATGTTCATAGTCTGGTCGGAATTGGATAATATTCCTGTCTATGATGTTACAAGGTTTTAAAATTTTAATTCTTACCCTGAAAAGTTTAAAATTCATAAACATCTGCATGTAGCAATTATTTAAGAGGAAGACAACCATGAGTAATCAAAATGAGTTTCAGTGGATGAGATGCTAGAACAAAGGAAAATGGTAAAGGTTTCAGCTAAAACTTTCATACAATGTCTCTACTCCTTATTCTCAATTTTCAGGGTACCATATTGATCAGGGAACAGTCTTTGTCAGGAGAGTTGAAGAAATTCTTATTGAGGGGAATGTGGCTGTGAGTCAAACCACACCATATAAAACCCTGGGTAAAATTCTATGTGAACATTATAATGGAATTATGTGGAAGATTATACAACTAGTGACTGCAAACCACAAAGGCCCTATTACACATTTTGAAGAGCTACTGCCTAAGGTTATGTACACTATCAGAACTCTATTTTGTGCTAGCGCCAATGTGACACTGCATGAGAGATATTTCAAATTCCTGAGATGAAGCGCTACCGATACCTCTCTTCTGTCAGGTCCTGTTTTGTTAAAAAGACACATAAGAACAAATATGACTTGGTGAATAAGGTAGAATTGTAGGAAGCCAAACCATACTCTGCTCTAATTTGACACCCCCAATGAGAGGCAATCAACAGAAATCTTTCTCAGGGATCTGGCACCTGCTGGAGTGACTGCAGAAAGTCTCCTCCTTCTTTGATCCCATAAACTTCTCCATTGATAGCACTGACAATCCTGTGGATTCTTCTGAGGAGCTAAGTTCAGACGATTAGAACTACTCTACACCAGATCAGTTCAACAAAGACAAGAGCACCAATGTAATGTCAGTAGTGACTCACTTTCAGACAAAGGGCAGAAATCACACTATGATATTTTTCATTGCACATTTGAGTAAAAAAAAACCTATAAAACACATACACATTTTACATAAAGCTCTTTATAGAGTGTGACATGTACGTGTAAGAGAAATATTTGTATTTCATTAAGATATAAGCTACCAGAAAGATGTCCAATGAATTATTTACAATCAAACCTAGAACCCCAACCACAAGTGGAATTATTGATGTCTTCATGTATTTTTTAATTATGTTCACCCTAAGCAAGGCAATACAGCCACTAAGACACAAGTGATTATTGGGTATAGAAGAATTAGAAAGCATTACTAAGGAAGGAGAATAAAAGATGAGCAATCACAGAGACAGTAGAAAGTGATTGCCATTTAAAATTTTGAAGATGAGCTGAAAAGCATAGAGCTGGAAGAATCCCACCATCAAGAAGTGTGAGAAAAAAAATTGTTAACATATAACTTACAGTTACATCTAAGAAACTCAACTGCAAATTGATGAGTAAATTAGTCAAATTTATTAGTCAATAAATCAAATTAGTACTGTGCTTATATTCTTAAAATCTAGATACATCCTTGTTATTTTCATTACTAGAATTTTTTGCAATACACTCATGCATGTTGAAATCATCACACTATTGTTGAAGTTATCACTAACTTTTTTGTTGAGATTGAAAACCTCTATGTTTCATTCAATTTTGCAAACCAATTGATGAAATTTAAAGAAGCTAATTTACAATATTTACATTATTTGGACCATTGTCCTCATCTTTGTCACCATATTTATTACAACATTTCAGCCGTTGTATGCTCTGGCCTTCTTCAGGTGGTTGGAATGTCAAACTGAACCTTTTATTTCACTCACTGGGGTAGACTGTTCTAATTCCACGTGCCATGTTTGATGGATGTCAGTTATCAGTTATCTCCTGAGTTCTGATAACTGACGTCCATTAGACATGGCATGTGGAACTAGAACAATCTACCCCAGTGAACAAAATAAAGGGTTCAGTTCGATATTCCAACCAACTGTAGAATGCTGGAGCATACAACGGCTGAAATGTTGTAATAAATATGGTGACAAAGATGAGGACAATGTCTGAATAATGTAAATAGTGTACATAATACCTCATCTCAGAAATATAGACAAAATATATAAGTGATTTGTTCGAAAAAATACATTGACAAGACCCCAATTTTTTCAGTTTGATAATTTTTTTAATTTAATCTAATTTTATAGGACTTCATGGTAAACAATATTTTTTAAGAAATTTCTTTTTTCCCTTTCTCTTTTTTAACAGCGAAGAATAAATTCTTAGAATTTATATACCCTTGGGCAACTAACATACAACTGGCCATGTGTAAATATTTTTTCTGGTGCCAAATTCCAACTTTTGAAGAACCTTGTAATTTGTTTATAATTCTCACAAATGCAGGGTGAACTGGAAACTAGATTCTTGTATATATAAAAACTTAAAGAAAAGATATAAAAAAAGATATTGCATTTTTATTAAATAAGTATTTGTTATATTAATCATTAAACTGCTTTTAAAATATTTTAAAAAGAGTATTTTGTATGTTAAATATTAAAACTTTTAATTTTTCCCAAAAAATTAATGAAAATTTATTGTACCAAGCTACAGACACTAGTAAATTCAACTGTACTTTGTACCCCCCACTTACCTGTTTGCAGTTCTCCCCAAAACTTGAAATTAATATATAGCTATTTTATATGGTGTGATGAACGGACAGACTAACGGAAGTCACAGAATTTTATATATAGACTAGAAATTATTTGCAACATGCTGAAGCATATTGAAATCCTCATAATATATTGTTGAAGTCATCATAAATATTTTTTGTTGAAATTTACAAACTCTACATTTCATTCAATAGATAGATAGATAGATAGATAAGATTATTGTATGTTGATAATTTCTGAATTTATTTAAAGTTAAATTGCAATCTGAAAAAAGTATCATTATTATTATTATTATTATTATCATTATTAGAATAAAGTTCTAAATTTAAATCGAATTAAAAATTTCAAATCTCTTTGCGAATAATGGGATACACTGCAAATTTATTTCCTATTATATTTAATGAAATGTTGGTTTACATCTGAAGCAGGCATTATATTCTTGGATTCTGTTTCATCATGAAAAGCTTGTATGCAAATAAAACCAAATATAAGGAAAACATCTTTACCAAAATTTCACGAGTACAGGTTATTTATTTCAAAGACAAAGATCTCTTGGGTGGTTGCCCATTTGTTCATTATTTCAAGGAGTGTGTCTGTGTAAGTGCGTATCTATTCTCTGTCTGGTAAACGGATGTCTGCACTCTCAGACAACATGATAGCTGGGTATCAGCATACACTTATTCAGTTTAGTATCTGCATTATCACAGCTTGGGGTGAGGTTACAAAACCATCTCTGCATGTTAGAGTGGTGTCAGTACACACCATCAATATGTTAGATGCATGTGTGCAAAATGTTAGTAAATTGTAAATAATGTCTGTAAAGATTTTATTGGATGTTTGTAAAATTAAAAAAAAATTATTTGGAAATATAAAATTTTTATAATAAAAAAGAATTAATTATTTAAAAATAAAATATATATATATATATATGTTTATATATTGAAATATATATTGTTAAATATAACAGACAATGAATGTCTATTATGTTTGAACATGATCTGTTCTAAGCTCAGTATAGTTCCTTTAATTCTGGGTGAAA